AGGTCAGTTTGTTTTGGTAGCTCCGCCTCAGCCAGGCTTCGGTCTCTGTGCTAGCAAGTATCAACTCTCTCATGATTTTTTTTTTTTTTTCTTGCAGGTGGGAACAGCGAGAGCTGCCTAATGGTAGAGTCTACTATGTAGACCATAACAACAAGACCACCACGTGGGAGAGACCCCTTCCTCCAGGGTAAGGGGCTCTGGGGGCAGCTGGCATCTCACGTACTGAACTAACTTGTTGTATCAGATGCATGGGAGTCTGCGCAAAAGGGGAGAAGTGGATTGGTAGCCACTTCTCTCATTCCTAAAAAGAAATGGGGTGAGATGACCAAGGGTTCGCTGGCCTGGAAGCACACCCTGTATCCTCAGGAAGGTCTTTCCAGCATGTGTAAAAAGGAAAAAGTTTTCCAATCATCTCTTGCGTTTTGACCTCCGTTAGAGGATTTTTTTTTTTTAAACAGTCCATGGAAATCACTGAACTCTCGAGCAGAGCGCAACCCCTTGAGAGCAGAGCGGAGGGGTGGGCCTTTGGGACGGGGTGCCAGCAAAGTCCTCCCAAAGACCAGGAGAAGGGAGGGGGTGGGCCTCACATCACCTGGAAAAACAGATGCTTCTAGATGAGGACTGAGCTCCTGGTGAGGGGAAACAGGCCCGCTCCATGTGCCTCAAACCTGGAGCTGGACCCTGGACTCTCTCAGAGGGGCCTCTTATGTTCTCAGCCACGTTGGGGTCTGCTTGTGCTTGAGAAGATGCTGCTGCTCAGCTCCATGGGACCTGCAGGGAGCACTCCACAAAACTCATGTCCAGGAGGGCCGTGCTTTCATTTGCAGGAGTAAACAGTCCTCAGGAGATAAAGGCTGTACACAGCCCTGGGGCCCACCTGCTTTCCAGAAGCTTGTGGAATTCTCACCTCTTTGAGCTCCTAAAAGCAGAGAAGTCAGTACAGCCAAACTGTTGTTCTCTAGACTGAGTTTGTTGAAGGCTGGAACGACTGAAGCGTGCTTTAACCGCCAGCGTGATGCGTGCAAGTGAAATACAAACCCATCCTGTTTTCCTCCACGGGAGCCTCCAGGTTCCTGTGGGCACACACTGCCTCCAGTTAAGCTGTGATCTCTGCAGCTGCTTTCTGATCCTACAACAGCTTGAAATATGTCCGGTGTTACAAGAGGGAGGCTGTCACCTGGCAAGGTAGCTTTGGAGTACCCCGGGCGTGCTCCTTCCCTCCTGTGCAGGTCTCCAGCCCAGCGCCTTGCCTCTGTCGAAGGTCAGCCGTCTTGGAGGAATGCTTACGGCATCCCGATGCGAACTCTGCTAGTGCCTAGGCATCCCACCGCGGCATCGTGTGCCCTTGCAGGGAGGTGCTTTGAGTCTTGCTAGTCTTTTGTATTTCCTTCTGGTGGATCTTTGTCCAAAAGAGCCCCTTCAGCTGTGAAACTGGTGGTTACACTGGAGCTGAGAATGGAGCCCTCGTGTTAAAGGGTATATCAGTCTTGTGAGAGGAGCCAGAGAGCAAGTCCCTGAAGTCAGCCTGTAGTGTCAGAGTGAAATGAAAAATCACGGCATTCATAGCTGGACCCTTGGGCCCTGGCAGCTCTTGGCCATTTCTCCCTTGGAGGACTATGAGCTGCTTTTCTCACCTGTGTTTCTGAGGCAGAACTCGACCACAAACCCTCTGCTGAGCCGCTGCATGGGGAGGATGAGGGGAGCGTGGCAGCCGGGGAAGCAGCTCACAACCGGTGCTCCTCTCAGTCACCCTTTCAGCACGTTGGATATTCTCAAGCTGCTGCTGCACGTCCAGACCCCGTAGGCAGCCCTCGGGTGAGGGCAACGGGAGGGGATGTTCCTCGGCGTGGGACCGTGGTGTGTGCCTTCTGCTGTGCCTCCCGACCTCTCCAGGGTTTCTTTCTGCTGCCTTCACACCAGCCTTAGTATTGAGCTGCCGCACAGCAGCTGGAGGTCCTGCCAGCAGGACCCGCCAAGCTGCCTGAGGACAGATGGTGACATCTTCCTCTGGTGTTTCCAGGTGGGAGAAGCGCGTGGATCCTCGAGGCAGGTATTACTACGTGGACCACAACACCCGGACCACCACGTGGCAGCGCCCCACGGCCGAGTATGTCAGGAACTATGAGCAGTGGCAGTCCCAGCGAAACCAGCTCCAAGGAGCCATGCAGCAGTTCAGCCAAAGATTCCTGTACCAGGTGAGAGCTGGGGGCTGCAGTGGGGGAGGTCTCGCCTGGCTTTCCCACCGGTCTCATCTGGGCTGGCCTGGGAGACCCTGAGTGTGGGGAGGTGCTCGCTGCAGGCAGAGAACCCCATGGGAGTAACTTTTTGTAAAACATGGCCCTGAAGGGTGGTGGGAGGTGTCCTCAGCAGCCTGTCCCCGGAGTCAGTGCTAGCGTGGCTATAGGCACATGCTTTCTCCCATGGCTCCTGTCAGCCAAGCCTTGCCGCTTGCCTGCGGGGCTTGCTGCATGCTGTTGGAGCTGGGCATATGCTGAAGAAGCTGTGGGAGCCTGGTCTGTAGCAGGAGGGGAGGCTCTTGGGGCTGAGCTCGTCCTTCCCCAAGTCTCCATTGGACTGAGGACAGCGAGTTGGGTCCTGGGTGGCAGCAGGAGTCAGCAGCAGTAGCTGCAGGCTCAGGGTACAAGTGCTGGCACAGTGAGGGCTGCAAGAGCCAGGGGACCAGAGAGTGCAGGGAATGAGCCCTGCTGGGCTCCGCGAGCTTCCTCCTGGTTTCTCTGCTTCTTCCCCTCGTTCCTGGTTTGGGCTGAGTAGCTGCATTTCCTTGCTCAGGGAATGATCTCTCAACAGGCCCACAGAGCAATAGCTCCTGGGCAGAGAGCACTCTTATCCTGGTCTTGCCTTTGCTGCTGGAGCCAGGACCTGGCTTTCAGCAGTGGCGGGCACCCTCTGATAACCAGGACCGTGCTGGTGGCCGTTGTGCTGCAGGGTGAGCAGTGCTTGGGAAAGAGCCAGGCTGGAGTGTTTCCACCTCCCGGAGCAGCGATGTCCCAGTGCTCTCCACCGTCAGCCAGCCACGTGCCTCGCAGAGGCTGTGCCGTGGTGTAAAACACAGCTCTTGCCAGAAGGCAGAGAGGTCTGGTGGGCAGGTGTGGAGTGAAGGTGGGCAGAGCAGGGTGACCAACCTCCCATCCATGTTTACCTCCTCTCGGAGAAAGCCAGGAGGCTGACGTGTCCCAGCAGCGCTGCTAGAGCTGGTGAAAGCTCTGTGCTCCAGCGAGGAGCTCGGATGCTCTGTGGGAGGGAGGTGCAGAGTCCGTCCTCCAGTGCCACTCTGCATGAGACACAACCAGGGCTGCTCCCGGGGCTGTGGGAAGCTGCTCTGCCCCTTTCCTCCTCCTGCCCATCTCTCCCCGGACAGCTTGCCAGCCCTTCCGAGCCTTGCGGCAGTAGCTGGACCATTGTGGCTCTGCTGCCCTCCGCCTGCCTGCACTCCTTGGCACGCTGCTCGCAGGACCGATGCGGAGGGGTGCGCGGGAGGGGGCTTCCACCGAGGCTGAATGGGGCTCTGGGCCTGTTGCTCACTCGTGTCTCTGCCAGCGCCAGCCTTGGAGCTGCTCCAGCGCTGCACGACTCGCCCTGCCCGGGCTCCGTGGAGCCCAGAGGGAGGGACTCGCGCTCCAAATTTAGCCTGATGAAACGATTGTACTTTTTGTTTCAAGCTCTCTGCTGCCAGCGGTGATGGCTCCCGCTCTCCCTCCTTCCCTACAGGGGCTTTCTGCTTTGCCTTGCCCTCCCGTGTCCAGCATCCACCTGCCCTCCTTGCCGGAAGAGGAAGGTGGGGAGGTGATGAGCAGCACTGGGCGATGCAGAGCCCTCTCCGCACAGCCCCTGGGGGAAGCAGCAGCTCGGGGAGCTGGGGTGCAGCCAGGGACCACTCTGCCAGCAGGCTCCCCAGTGCCGCAGGGCTCCCTGGTGCCGCAGGGCTCCCCGGGCTGTGCCTGCACGCAGCATCCCTTGCGCTGCAGGGTCTTGCCGGCCCAAGGGGCCAGGTTGTTCCCAGGGGCTGTGGAGAGCTGCAGGAGGGCTGGCTCCCCGGAGCTCTGCCCCGAGCTCTTGCGTCTCTGCCCTGTTAGTTTTAATTAGGTATTTTTAGGTCATGGTGAGGCGATACCTCTGGACGTGACTCGGCTGTGTGGCTGGCCAGCCTGTCTGGGCAGGGAGGGAGCACAGACTGCCCCAAGTCTGAGGCACGCCGTGCCGGGCTGGCTGCTGCCGGGGCAGTGCCTCCTGCACCCAGTCCTGGCACATGGGGTCGGGTACAAGAGATGAAGCTTGGAAAGGCATAGTCTGTGCCAGCCCCATCCCTGACACGGCCCAGGACATCCCCGGGGTGCTGGGCTGCCATGGGGCACCTTGAGTGCTGGCACCTGTCTCAGAGTGGGGGGCTCTGGCACCCCAAATAGCAGCCATGCCTGGGCCTGGGGCTGCCTCCTGTTCCCAGCCAGGAGGGACGGGCCTGGCTGCGCTGGCATTCGTGAGCCCCGGCTGACTCCGATCCCCAGCCCAGCGCGGAGGGCTGGGACGCCGGCCCCTCTCCAGCGGCTGGGTTTCAGGAGGTGCAATGAAAATGCCTTTTCGGTAACAATGCGCTTCTTATTTAACCATTAAAAGCACTCGCAGGCCTCCTTCTCCCCTGAACCCCCGACTGCTGGGGCTGCGCCTCCATCCCCAGGGACCTCCAGCGGAGCTGGAGATGGGGGGCTCACGCAGGCAGGGGCGGCGGGGCAGCGCACCAGCCTGCTCCCCCCGTCCCGGGGCATCCCCCGGTTCAGGCTGGGTGACGGCCGCCAGCTCTGCCCGCCCCAGGGAAGAAGAAAGGTGCTTTGTGCGGTGGCCCCCAATCTGCTGGGGGGGCGGCGGGGCGCGGAGCCGCCCGTCTGCATGGGATGAATGCGGCCTCAGTGCGAGCGCATCCCGCACCCCGCGCCCTGCCCGGGGAGGAGGGGGCCGCTGGCCCGCCAGGAAGCGCTGGGCGTGGACAGGGCTTGTGGGAATGATTTCATTGGAAAGGCCTGCGATATTTTTTCCCCTCTTGTGTGTGGTTCTTGGAGGAGGCTGGAGGTGTATCTGGTGGGGACAGCCGGCGGTAGCCGAGCAGCCGCGCACATCTGGACCCTGCCGCGCTGTCCTGCTCCCCTCTGTGCGGCACGGCCCCCGCCCCGCCCCCCCCCTGGC